CCCAGACCTTGACGCAGCCTTTGCCCCCCGTGTAGACGTGCTGGGTGGAGTGGCTGATGGTGACGGCGCAGACCACCTCGCCGTGGGAGAGCGTGTGCAGCTGGCGGGCGTGGCGCGGGATCCCGGAGCCGATCAGGGCGTCGGGCGGGAAGGGCACCGGCTGCATCTGCCCGTCCGCGCTTACGTGGAAGGAGTAGGCCCTAGGACAGTGAGGGCGAACCTTTTAGAGCCCGAGTGCCCAAACTGCAACCCAAAACCCACTTATTTATTGCCAGGTGCCAGGTGGGCGTGGCCCAGTGGGTGGGCGTGGCTATGGTGGTCATGGCAGATGGTGGGTGTGGCCAAGGTGGGCGTGGTCACCTCGATGTTGGTCGTGGGGGCCAGGCAGGGTTGGGGGAGATCCAGGGGGTCTCTGGCAGGTGGGGTGGTGGGCAGGAGGCTCGTCCTGCGGGGTGAGGTGAGGCAGGGCGGAGGTGCCATTGTCGCAGGGCAAGGTGAGGCAGGGGCCAGGGCAGCTGCTGCCTGACACCATCGGCCTCTGCACACAGAGGCCAGCAAGCGTATGGGGGCCGACAGTGTCCGTCAGCAGCCACAGCCTGCTGGCCCCTCAACCGGCGCACTCTGGGGCTCCGCAGCCCGCCACCAGAAGCTCAGAGAAGTGCCCACAGAGAGGGCTCTGAGTGCCACCTCTGGCACGCGTGCCATAGGTTTGCCACCACTGCCCTAGGAGGAGCAGAGAATTAACGGCTGTTACTGCTAGTCCTCAACATACGACCACAATTGAGTCCAGAATTTATGTCGCTTAAGTCATACCTGTACTTATAATGTTTTGTTTTGTTTTGTTTTACTGATAAAAGACTTTGGAGATCGCTATCCTAAACCCCCAAAAGTCAACCAATGTTAAGTTATTATTTTAATCTTTTTGTGTCTTTTATCTTTTTGTTTTTATCGCTTGTAAATCTTCTAGAGTCGCCTCTGGGCAAGATGGACGGCATAGAAATAAATAAATACATAAAACACTGCCTGTGCTTGCAATCCACTGAGAAAAATCACAATTTCCTGTTCTCCCAACCAGGAAACCCGACTTACGGCTTGCTGCCAGAGACTGCAGGGAGGGAGGCCGAGAGAGGGGATCCCCGCAAATGTGGGTGAGATTCAAAAGCCACCTGTGGAAACCAAGGAAGAAATCAGGGATGAATTGGGACTCGTGATGAAAATGTGTTGTATCTTTGGAAGCTTTCCAGTTTAACGCTCAGTGTCATGGTTCCGACAGATGAAATTCTTCAAAAGAACTTCGAGGCATTGTTTACTGTAAAGGATCTTTTATTTGAGTAGCATAATATCGGCACTTACATAACTGAAGCCAAAAACTGAATTCCCCTCCCCTGGGCACCTAGTATCAAAGCACAATTCCCTCCTCCAATTGACAGTCATAAATGGATGGGGAGAAACAGACTCAGGCTCAACCCTTCCAAGACCGAGTGGCTGTGGTTGCCGGCGCCTCGGCATAGTCAGCTGACTCCGTCGCTGACTATAGGGGGCGAAACTTTGGCCCCCTCGGAGAGGGTGCACAGTCTGGGTGTCCTCCTGGATCCACGGCTGACACTAGAAGACCAGCTGACGGCCGTGGCCAGGGGGGCGTTCTACCGGGTACGCCTGGTTTACCAGTTGCGGCCTTTTCTGGACCGGGACGCCTTGCGCACAGTCACTCACGCTCTTGTCACCTCCCGCCTGGACTACTGCAATGCTCTCTACATGGGGCTCCCCTTGAGGAGCACCCGGAGGCTCCAGCTAGTCCAGAATGCAGCCGCGCGGGCGGTGATGGGAGTGACTTGTCGCTCCCATATAACGCCGCTGCTGCGCAAGCTGCACTGGCTGCCGGTGGCTTTCCGGGTGCGCTTCAAGGTGTTGATTATCATCTTCAAAGCGCTCCATGGCATCGGACCTGGTTATCTCCGAGACCGCCTTCTGCCTCCGATTACCTCTCATCGGCCGATACGCTCCCACAGAGTGGGTCTCCTCAGGGTGCTGTCAGCCAGACAGTGTCGGCTGGCGACCCCCAGGGGGAGAGCCTTCTCTGTTGGAGCCCCCACCCTCTGGAACGAGCTGCCCCCAGAGATCCGGGTGATTCCGAATCTCCCCTCCTTCCGCCGCGCCCTCAAGACATGGCTATTTAAGTTAGCAGGACTGGCCTAAGGGTTATTTTAATTTGGTTTTAAAAGTTTTTCGAATTTTCGGCCTTAGAATAATATTTCATTTTAATCAATTTTAAATTTTGTATTTTTGTATTCAAGTATTTGTTTTAAATGGCTGTAAGCCGCCCTGAGTCCGCAGGGAGAAGGGCGGGGTAGAAATACAAGAAATAAATAAATAAATAAATCACATTCCCCAATTAGCTTGAAGCACTGGGCTTCCTCTCCAGTTCTCCAGCCCGGCCAATTCATTATCAGCTCTGGTTACAACAACCTTGATTCTCCCACTGAGTTTAGTGTTGTTATGTCTAGCTAGACTCTCATCCACATCCCCCCTCCCAGCATCATCTAACTCTAAAAGCGAAAGGGAAAAAATGGCTACATTTCCATCTGTTGTCAATGCAAAAACATCCAATGGTAGCAGCGTTGACATTCAGTTTCGATGTTGTAGAAATGGCTAGTCTATAGACCAGTGATGATGAACCTTTTAGAGATGGAGTGCCCAAACTGCAACCCAAAACCCACTTATGCATCGTCGGATGCCGGGTGGGTGTGGCCTATTGGGTGGGTGTGGCTGGGTGGTAACAGCAGACTGGGTGGGACTAAAAAGTTCAATCAATCAATTCCAACTTTGCAAGATCTTTTTTTCCCCACGAGAAGTTGAAATTGACTGATTGATTGAACTTTTTTTTTTGCACACGGTAGCGGAGGCCTAAAGCGAAAAGGTTTTATAAAACCCAGCTGAAGGCCTAGGACTGGGGCGATGGCGCACGTGCCCACAGAGAGGGCTCTGAGTGCCGCCTCTGGCACCCGTGCCATAGGTTCGCCACCACTGCTATAGACTATGTATGGAAAAGTACAAAACTGCATACATTGACAAAGAACCAAGCCACACAATACAATGTCCCTTATTCTTCCTTAATTCATCCCCTCAGCCAATTTGAACACTTGCCAAAGCAGAAAGACAGAGACATAGATCAAATGGATTAATACATTCAAAACCATGAGGACTAGAGCCTCACGTCTTCCTTAAAAGAAGGAGCAAAGGCCTTGGTTTGATGTTTTATCTCAGTGTTTCTCAAACTTGGGCCACTTTAAGATGGGTGGATTTCAATTCCCAGAATCCCCCAGCCCGCTCTGTTAGCCATTATTCTGAGACACCTGCTACCTCCTTGCCTCTGGGTGGTAAAGTTGAAGGGAACAATAAAGATCATCAAGTCCATTCCTCCTCATGCTGAAGGGCCAGGGCAACTTTAACACTGGTGGACTTCAATTCCCAGAATTCCCCAGTCAGCACTGCTAGTCATTATTCTGAGACACCTGCTACATTCCTGCCTCGGAATTGTAAACTTGAAGGCAACAGTAAAGATCATCAAGTCCATCCCTCCTCATGCTGAAGGGGCCAGTAAAAATCATCAAGTACTCCCCATGCTGGCTGGGGAATTCTGGGAGTTGGACCATACACCTTAAAGCAGGGGTCTTCAGACGTGGCCCTTTTATGACTGGTGGACTTCAACTCCCAGAATTCCTCAGCCAGGCACACTGGCTGAGGAATTCTGGGAGTTGAAGTCCACACATCTTAAAGTTCAGGTTGAGAAACATTGCTCTAGAACAGGGGTCTTCAAACTTGGCCCTTTTATGACTTTTGTACTTCAACTCCCAGAATTCCTCAGCCAGGCACACTGGCTGAGGAATTCTGGGAGTTGAAGTCCACCAGTCATAAAAGGGCCAGGTTTGAAGACCCCTGCCTTAAAGTTTCTAAGGTTGAGAAACGCTGCTACTTTAGTACATTATTCTGAGACGCCTGCTGCCTCTGGGCTGGGGAATGGCCACTGGCCATGTTTCCTCTCACAGATTGATGATGGTCAGAAAGTTTGACCCAACTGAGCATTTCAATTTGCTCCCTTTTAAACGCCTCCCCCCACCCCCAGATTCGGAAGGCTGCCCCAAAGCTCACCAGCGGAGACCGTCCGTATCCTCCAGGGCCTGCAGAAAGATGGATGCCGACGTAGGAACTCGGTGCAGCTAATTCGCCATTGAGGCCGGCGTGAGGCATCACCCCGAAGGGTGAAGCAAAACTGCTGGTGAAAGAATTTAGCGGACTCCTCAAGGCTTAGTTGAGAGAGAGAGAGACAAAAAAAGAGGTTTGTTTTTTTCAGCCAAACAGATTACAGGTAGTCCTTGACTTACAACAGGGGTCTTCAAACTGGGCTCTTTTATGACTGGTGGACTTCAACTCCCAGAATTCCTCAGTCGGCCATTTTGAGGAAACTGCGAGCTTGGATCCAGACCAGGGGTCTTCAAACTGGGCCCTTTTATGTCTGGTGGACTTCAACTCCCAGAATTCCTCAGTCGGCCATTTTGATGAAACTGCGAGCTTGGATCCAGACCAGGGGTCTTCAAACTTGGCCCTTTTATGACTGGTGGACTTCAACTCCCAGAATTCCTCAGTCGGCCATTTTGATGAAACTGCGGGCTTCGATCCAGACTAGGGGTCTTCAAACTTGGCCCTTTTATGACTGGTGGACTTCAACTCCCAGAATTCCTCAGCCAGGCTTGGCTGAGGAATTCTGGGAGTTGAAGTCCACCAGTCATAAAAGGGCCAAGTTTGAAGACCCCTGACTTACAACTACGACTGAGCTCAACAATTCTGTTGCTAAGCGAGACAATTTGTTACGTGAGTTTTGACCCATTTTACAACCTTTCTTACCACAGGTATTAAGTGAATCACTGCTGCTGTTAAGTTGGCAACGGGGTTATAAAGTGAACCTGGCTTCTTCCCTTGACTTTGCTCGTCGGAAGGTCGCAAAAGGGGATCACGTGACCCCGGGGACACTGCGACCGTCATAAATATGAGCCAGTTGCCAACTGTCTGGATTTCGAACACATGGCCATGAGGATGCTGTAACGGTCGTAAGTGTGAAAAACGATCCTAGGTCACTTTTTCAGGGCCGTTTTAACTTTGAACGGTCACTAAACGAACTGTTGTAAGTCAAGGACTACCTGGACATTTAAGCAACTTCTGAGTGTGCCAATTGTTCTGCAGAAGTCAAAAAAGTTGCATTTTCTCACATTAAGGACCCCACTGCCAGTGGCTGGAAGCTGGAAGCATTCTGGGAAAGTGGGCGCTAGGGAGGATGGCACTGCCCAGCTCAGGGTACTGCAAATGCCAACATTGTTTAGATGATTGTTTAGATTATTTAGTAGTAACTGAGAGGGACCTCGGAGTCCTAGTGGACAATCATTTAAATATGAGCCAGCCGTGTGCTGCAGCTGCCAAAAAGGCCAACACAGTGCTAGGCTGCATGAACAGAGGGATAGAATCAAGATCACGTGAAGTGTTAATATCACTTTATAACACCTTGGTAAGGCCACACTTGGAATGCTGCATCCAGTTTTGGTCAGTTAGATGTGAAAAAGATGCTGAGACTCTAGAAAGAGGGCAGAGAAGAGCAACAAGGATGATCAGGGGACTGGAGGCTAAAACATATAAGGAACGGTTGCTGGAATTGGGTATGTCTAGTTTAATGAAGAGAAGGACGAGGGGGGACATGATAGCAGCGTTCCAGTATATCAGGGGCTGCCCCAAAGAAGAGGGAGTCAAGCTATTCTCCAAAGCACCTGGACAAGAAGCAACGGATGGAAACTAATCAAGGAGAAAAACAACCTGGAACTAAGGAGAAATTTCCTGATAATTAGAACAATTAACCAGTGGAACAGCCTGCCTCCAGAAGCGGTGAATGCTCCAACACTGGAAGTTTTAAAGAAGAGACTGGACAGCCATTTGTCTGAAATGGTATGCCTGAGCAGGGGGTTGGACTAGATGACCTCCAAGGTCCCTTCCAACATTATTATTATTATTATTATTATTATTATTATTATTATTATTATTATTATTATTATTATCATCATCATCATCATCATCATCATCATCATCATCATCATCATCATCATGGCAAACAATATAGAAATTGGCAGAAATAAGTAGAAGCAGAAACCAAGAAACCCAGTCAACGACTTACTGATAACATCGCTGGTGGACGGCTTTGCAATCTGAGGCACGTAACTCGGGCCGGCTCGGGGAGTGAGTATTTCAGAGACTGGAGACAAACTGGTTGATTTGGAAGAAGCTGGATTGGTTTCGTTCTGGAAACAAAAGATTGATTTAAGTACAGCAGCGCGGTAAAAGTTTTATCGATTTGTTAGACGGAACCTCCAGGACCTATGGTAGTCTACCTGAATGGGACAGATTGGGGAGGAATACCTTACCTTTATATCCTGATTGAATTATCTCATTGGTCACTTCTGAAAACAGGATGTGGGGATTTTGACTCCCGGAATTCCCCAGCCAGCATTTGTGGACTTGAACTCCCAGAATTCCTCAGCCAGCATTTGTGAACTTCAGCTCCCAGAATTCCCCAGTCAACATGTGGACTTCAACTCCCAGAATTCCTCAGCAAGCATGTTTTCCAAACTTGGCAAGTTGTTGAAGTGTGGATTTCAATTTTCCGCAATGCTGGCTGGGGAATTCTGGGAGTTGAAGTCCACACATGTTGACTGGAGAATTCTGGAAGCTGAAGTCCACAAATACTGACTGAGGAATTCTGGGAGTTGAAGTCCACAAATACTGACTGAGGAATTCTGGGAGTTGAAGTCCACAAATACTGACTGAGGAATTCTGGGAGTTGAAGTCCACAAATACTGACTGAGGAATTCTGGGAGTTGAAGTCCACAAATACTGGCTCAGGAATTCTGGGAGTTGAAGTCTACAAATGCTGGCTAAGAAATATTGGGAGTTGAAATCCACAAATGCTGGCTGAGGAATTCTGGGAGTTGAAGTCCATGGATGCTGGCTGGGGAACTAGCTAGCTGAACCCCGATTTTTACAGCCGTCCTGCCAGCTGCTGCAACATTGTGCTCTCTGGATAGATTAGGATCTTAAAACCAGGCTGGGAATTCTGGGAGCTGAAGTCCACAGAGTACCAGATTTGGGGGGAACATGTCTTGAAAAGAAGAAACACCCAGAGTCTACTTTCCTTTGGCTTCTATTGAACCCCAATCTATCGGTCCCACACAGTAGGGCTGGTTCTGGATTCAGGGGAAAGGTATTCCCAGTCCCAGCTTTGCCTCCTTCTCTTGGCTGGGGCTGATGGGTTAGACGGCCCAATCAACACCGCCCTATCTCCCCCACCACCTCAAGTTCTACAGCAGCCATCGATCAAATCTGCACAGTGGGGATGCGGCCTTGAGTGCGGATCTGACCCCTGTTTGTATCCATCAAGAAAGAGAAGGAAATAAGCAATCCAGGAAAGGAGAGTGGGGTTCTCCCAGGCTGCAAAATAAAAAATAAAAATAAAAAGGGGGGGGGGCAGAAAGGAACAGGGTTGCAAAATTGATCCCCACTTCTGCAATTTCTCCAGGTTTTTTCCCCCTTCCACTCCCCAAGCCAGCCCAGATGGTCTGCTAATCCATCCCTCCATTCCTCCCTCTTTCTCTCTCTTTCTCTCTCTCTCTCACACACACACATATACACACACAATAATAACACACAGGTTTCTCGGCCAGCCCCCCCCCTTCCCCCTCCCGTCCCTTCTGCACGCCTGCCCTAATAGCAATTAATTATACATTAACATCCTCCCTGGAATTCAAAGCCCTTGGTGGGCTGCTAATTAACGGAGCTACCCAGTTTTTTGAGGAGGGGGCACGGAAAGCCCAGCGCAGCCAAAGGGGGGAACGGGGAAGGGGAGGGGAGGGGAAAAAAAGGGAAAACAGGCAGAGATGAAGCCTAGCAACCGGTGTCACCAGCGCCACGGAATTGCAAAAGCATCTTCCCAGCCCAGATGTTCTGTCTGTTTGTCCATCTGTCGGGGGTCCCCCCGTCTTGCCAGCTGTCCCTTTTCATTCCTCTGCAATATTCACTTTTTTTTTTTTTTCCCAGTTTCTGGGTTTGGATTTTTGACGAGGCCGAGAATGCGGTCCTTCAAAGTCCTCTGGTTTATTCACCCAGGGAGGTGTGTGGATGGAGGTTTGAAACCGGTCTGGATGTATTTCTCCAAAGCGTGGTTTGCTTCTTAGATCTTTTTCCTTCTGGTGCAGGTGGTCCTTGACTAATGACCACAACCGAGCCCAAATCTCCCGTTGCTAAGCAAGGCCGTTGTTAAGTGAGTTTCCCCCCCATTTTACGGCCTTTTTTTGCCAAAGTTGTTGAGCAAATCGCTGCAGGGGTTAAGGGAATCATGCGATCGTTAAGTGGATCTGGCTTCCGCCATTGATTGCTTGTTGGAAGCCAGCTGGGAAGGTGACAAATGGTGATCACGTGACTTGGGGACAGTGCAACCGTCGTAAGTACATGTCAGTTGCCAAGCATCTGAATTTTGATCACGTGACCACGGGGATGCTGCAACTGCCATAATGAGCCATAAGTTACTTTTTTCAGTGCCATTGTAACTTCGAGCGATCACTAAACATATAAGGAAAGGCTGCTGGAATTGGGTATGTCTAGTCTAATGAAGAGAAGGACGAGGGGGTGACATGATAGCCGTGTTCTAGTATCTCAGGGGCTGCCCCAAAGAAGAGGGAGTCAAGCTACTCTCCAAAGCACTTAAAGGCAGGACAAGTCTCTTCTTAAAAACTTCCAGTGTACCTCTGGTGTAGACACAGCCAATGAGTTGTAACCACCCTTCTACTTACCAAATTCGGGTCCTTGCCTTTGACAGGTGTGGTGCTGCGACTGGATGCCAGCGAGGCTGGACTGTTCGTAAAGCCCCTTTGGCTGGGCAGGAGTTGGGCAGCCGAGGCGCACAGCGGGCTCCCATGCTCAGAAGGAGGGTCCTGGAAGAGGAAGAAGAAAAAAAAGATTTAATTCCTTCAATTTTGTCCAGATATTGGGCATAATAGGGAAACACTGCAAAAAATAGAAGTAGAGATTTAAAAACAAAAGATTGGATTGAGCCACTGTAGAATGACAAGCCGACAAAGACACCTAACCTCATACAGATAGTCCTTGAGTTACATCCATTTGTTTAGTAACCGTTCAAAGTTAAAACGGCGCTGAAAAAAGTGAAGACCGTTTTGCACACTTACGACCGTTTGCAGCATCACGTGATCAAAATTCAGCTGCTTAGCAACTGACTCAGATTTATGACGGTTGCAGTGTCCCGGGATTATGCAATCACCTTCAGACGAGCAAAATCAATGAGAAAGGCAGATTCCCTTAGCAACCGTGTAGCTAACTTAACAATTAGAGCAATTCACATAACGACTGCGGCAAGAAAGATCATAAAATGGGGCAATACTCACTTAATGACTGTCTTGCTTAGCAACGGAAATTTTAGGCTCAGTTGTGGTCATAAGTTGAGGATACTTACAGTATTTTATTTTTTTTAATTGTGTCCTATTC